GATGTAAATTCCTGAGGCCTTTTTAAAAGCTCATGTGCAGAACGTGTGGCTGCCCAAAGACTATATTTACCCGACACAATCTCAGTGCTTTGAGCTGCCCTCCTCCTCATATGCACACACACATACTGTCCTCCTTTAACAGTCTAAACACTCGTCTCCACCATAGCCCCTAAATTAACCACGCATAGACATCATCTCTCATTTAAACCTATTAAAAACCCCAGACGCTCCATGGGTGCATCTCAAATTCCCATATAGAATTGCCATTCATCATCTTTGTTACTCGCCACCTTATTTATCCCTGAAATTATATACATCTTCTAACCAACTCGTTAATGGCATTTTTATGATGAAGTACTGTAACCTTTCTTAAAAATACAATACTCACACAAGCCTAATTATATGCTGCAGCCACTGAGAAGATACGTTCTTGTTATTCCCTCGAGAAAAACTATTTTAGGACATTTACTATGAGACAGAACTGAATTAATACAGGATAAGAAGTAGTTTTCCATAATAAGTCTCCGGTCAGCGTTTCGAGACAATGGCAGGAACGTTAGGTGTATTAGGAACACGTTTTCACTCTGTTTGGGTTCAACTTTGTCCTGTGGTCTCTGGTCTGTCTGGCACTGTTGTCATGGTTACAGCACAGCTCTGTCCAATTGTGTGGCAACTTGAAAGGTAGTGCTAGTTTTTGTCCAAAAGGAGCTGAATGCTCTTTTTAAAGCTGCTCTCAGGTTAGTATCACCTTTTGAAAGGAATTGTGACACATTCAAGCACAGCTGAGTTGTATTTAGTGCTAATCTGCTTGCACAAAATGCACAGACAGTGATTGCTAGCTTCAAAAAATTACATTTTAGAGGTGTGACCTCGCAGCATGCTAGTGTTAAGACGTGCGTGATCACACATTTTGGGATTAAAGATGGGGCAGAAGTGATATACGCTGAGATTTCAACTGGTTCTTAACCAGAAAAGCATTTAGAGATGAGAAGAAAAAAAAACTAAAGCAAGAACTGAATTACAAACAAGAGAAAAGGCATTAGGAATTTGATCTTTTCTTTTAATCCTGACGAGAGATAACATTGCCTGTAGGGTAATGTCATATTTACTCTTAAATCCCCTCACGTGTCTGTGTTTACTCAGTTCTAGATCATGGCCCAGTTGGCTTTTCTTCTCTGTTCTGCTGTAGTATTTCTGTGCTCCGCCTACCTTTTATCTCTCTCACACACACAGTCACACATACATTTTCTAGACAGCTGTATCCTTAACAACAGTGGTTCTCAACTGGTGTCCTTTAGGAACCAGATATTACATTTAACATCAAGTGTTAACCCAGCTCTTAAACAAAATTGTTTACTGAGCAAAGGTATTGAAATATACACTACCATTCAAAATGTAGGGTTTGAAAGTCTCTTATGCTTACCAAGGCTGCATTTAATACTAATAATAATACTGTGAAATGTTATTACTATTTAAAATGACCATTTTCTATTGTGATTTATTTTAAAATGTAATTTATTCCTGTCATAGCCATGCTAAATTTTCTGCATTATTCTATTCTTCAGGTTCACAATCTTTCAGAAATCATTCTGATACTGTTCTAGAATAGGCTACTGCTCAAGAAAAAAA